GTGGAGCTCGGAGCTCGACAGTTGGGCTTAGCTTGGCAAGCATTCGCGGCTCGGGGCTTGAAACTCTGATATTGGACTCAGCTGTGTTGCCCGATATTTTATTAGATAGGCTTATCTTGAAAGCTGTTCAGTAAAGTCCGAAGTCCTAACAGCGTGTCCTAGTCCCAATCCAAAACCCATTGACTGTCGATTCATGGCCCAAGTTAAGATCCGTCAATCTATGCCAGACGATGCCTAATACGATCAATTAGGCAAATGTTTGAGTGCCAGTCATAAAAGCAACGTGGCCATAACTCAATGACACTTCACTTGCCCGTGGAGTTGCGTTGACAACTCAACTTGTTTGGCCCGACATATCTAGCCGATAGCATCTCTGGCTGGGAGAGAGAAGAGACCACACCAAGAGGCAACCACAGGCCGGGGCCAGTTTTATTGCATTTTCGACAAACTCAAATCAAATGAAAATCTCTTTGAAATTGATGTGCAGCGACTGCGCAGGAAAGCCAGTTTCTGTTACAGACCTGCGACTGGGACTTGGTCTTCCACCGGTGGATCGATCGCTGCCCGGCCGTGTCCAGCTGTGCGGCCTGTCGCTGTCGCGCTGCTCCGAAAGGTGAGCGCAGCGAATACATTTCAATTGAGACCCGGACTGTGACCGTATATCATTTGTTTACATTGTATTGAGTTGTTAGCTCACCGCCCGCCGGTACATTTTAATTGGCCCTAGCCCTAGCTAGGGGCCGCACACGTCGGCGTCGCACGTTTGATAAGCCCCGGTCGCGGTCGGGGTCGGGGTCGGGGTCGTGGTCGGGTCGCCTGCGTGGGCCGCTCCAGCTTCTCGAATTTCCATATAATTTTGCCAGTGATCTCTGGCCCGGACTGGCTGGTTTACGAGCTTGAAAGCGCGCCGGAAGTGCTGCGTTGTTGGACCATTTATCACAAAGGCCAGTTAATAACTTTATCGAACCATGCGGGCTTTGACCGGGCAGAACTGTGGTAGGTATTCATTTTCACAACAGCAGTAAGAAAAGTGCGTGTTTTTTGGTAAAAGAAAGCAAGAAACTGGCTGAAGAAAAAGAAACGTTAAGAGTGCGCTAAGCCTCTTAACTTCCATTCAGCTTTGACAGTTTTCTTAATATATTGTGGCTGCGCATTCATACAAAAAAAAAAAAAAAAAAAAAAAAAAAGTAAGTAACAGAGAAGAAAACTCGAAACTCCATTGTCAGCAGCCCGTGCACCTTTGAAGCACCTATTTGTTTGTTTGTCTATTCGAATGTTTGTTGGCCTGGAACTCCTCTCATGATTTGCGCTTGTCACAAAATCTCTTTGACTGTGCATACTTTGCGTGGGAGACCAGTTGCTGGTTCAACTAACCAAAGAACTTATTGTTGTTGTTTTTCATCAGAAATTGTTAGGTGACAAATGTTTAACTTCTCTTTTTCTTACACTTTTGTTCCGGCGTAATGCAATCAAATTTTCAGAATTGCAAACATATCGGAACTTCTTTCAAATAGACCTTTAGTTCTCCATAACATCCATTTGTCATCGAAGAGCATTTGATAGTCTCTCAAACATTTAAGTTAAGATAGGAAAAAAATAATCATCAACAAGAAGAAACTCTTGCTCTAGCAGACCATATTTCTAACCGATTGATCTTATAAAAAGTTTCGATTTTCGCACCGACCTCGACTTCCGAGCGAGTTCGCGAGGAGTTATGTCGTTTTGGAACGTCATTTTGGATTTCCTTTTTTTGATGCCAATCGATAGAACTGATCCTTACGAGTCAAAAATTGTATGAAATTGCAAAATCCACCATTATTTGAAGGAAATATTCCAAAAAATCATCAAAAAGGTTGAATTTACGAACGAATCGGTTTTTTGTCAACAACATTTTTCAACCCATCGATGTTTAATTTGTTTGAATGCCAATTGATGGTAGGGATCCGCACGCATTCAAAAAGGTATAACATTTTAAAATCCGACATTATTTACCTGAGATATTAAACAAAAATCATCGAAAAAGTTTCGATTTTCGCACCGACCTCGACCTGCGCGCGGAGTTATGTCGTTTTGGAACGTTATATCTCCACGCGGAGTTATGTCGTTTTGGAACGTCATTTTGGATTTCCTTTTTTTGATGCCAATCGATAGAACTGATCCTTACGAGTCAAAAATGGTATGAAATTGCAAAATCGGACAATTTTTGAAGGAAATATTCCAAAAAATCATCAAAAAGGTTGAATTTACGAACGAATCGGTTTTTTGTCAACAACATTTTTCAACCCATCGATGTTTAATTTGTTTAAATGCCAATTGATGGTAGGGATCCGTACGCATTCAAAAAGGTATAACATTTTAAAATCAGACATTATTTACCCGAGATATTAAAAAAAAAGCATCGAAAAAGTTTTCGCACCGACCTCGACCTGCGCGCGGAGTTATGTCGTTTTGGAACATCATATCTCCGCGTGGAGTTATGTCGTTCTGGAACGTCATATCTCCGCGAGGAGTTATGTCGTTTTGGAACGTCATATCTCCGCGCGGAGTTATGTCGTTTTGGGACGTCATTTTGGATTTCCTTTTTTTGATGCCAATCGATAGAACTGATCCTTACGAGTCAAAAATTGTATGAAATTGCAAAATCCACCATTATTTGAAGGAAATATTCCAAAAAATCATCAAAATGGTTGAATTTACGAACGAATCGGTTTTTTGTCAACAACATTTTTCAACCCATCGATGTTTAATTTGTTTGAATGCCAATTGATGGTAGGGATCCGTACGCATTCAAAAAGGTATAACATTTTAAAATCAGACATTATTTACCCGAGATATTAAAAAAAAATCATCGAAAAAGTTTCGATTTTCGCACCGACCTCGACATGTCGAGGAACATCATATCTCCGCGTGGAGAGAGGAGAGGTGGCGATAGGTATAAAATAAAAGATACTTGAAAAATATATAATATTTAAGAGCCAACTTATCATGTTTCGTGACTCTTGCTCTTATTATTTACCAAAATTGCCCAAAAACAGGATATCGATATAGATTTTTATCGATTGCTTGGAAACGGAGTAAGTTATCGATTATCGGTAACAAACTCGATCTGCGCAGGTACTAGGAGCACCTACATCTAAAATTTCAAGTCTATAGCTCTTATATGTTCTGAGATCCTTGCGTTCATATCAAGTTCTGATCAAGAATATATATACTTTATGGGGTCGGAGATGCTTTCTTCTGCCTGCCAAACATACATTTGGATTTTGCACAAATACAATATACCCTTACACCCATTTTTAATGGGTTCAGGGTATAAAAATATTTAAAAAAAAATAAAGCGGTCATAAATTGAAGACAATTCCGTTGTACCTTCCAGGAAGGCATCGAGTGGCCACAATGTTGCTGCCCTTTGATGTTCACCATGATGATGATGATGCTGATGATGATGATGATGATGATGACTCCGAAGGAGGTCTGAACTCATAACTCATCATTAATAACCGAACCTAAATAAGACATTTTATTGTTGTACACCAAATTGAATTCCAGCTGTGCATAACAGAACTACCCGAACCGAACCGAACCGAACTGAGCCGAACTGATCCGTCCCAGAATTACACAACTGTCTGCAGATTATAAATGCCGAGTTGTTGTGCTCAGGTGTTGGACATGTTGGCGGCAGCCAGGCAAAGGACTCGAATTGAGCCTTATAGGGCTGGGAAATGGGAAATGAAAGAGATCAAAGGGGCTGTTGTTGTTGATGCTCTTACATGTGGGACTCACACTTTCTGCACCGACTTTGTCATAATTACACTCTCTGACCCTAGCCTACATTAATGCCATTTTGTTAGCCTCGTGTGTGTGCACCCTAGCCGAGTGCAAAAGTCAATTTCCCTGGCCGGGAACAGGGCCGTGCGGCCAAGATCAAAGCCAGAAATCGCTTCGAGCGTTAATCTGGCATATAGAGCTACCGCTACCTGTTGTCGCAGATGCTGACAGAAGACATCATTCAACTGCTGCTGCTTCTCCCCCTGCTCCAGCTAAGTCTTTTCTCTTCTCTTTTTTTACAACAGTTGCCAGTTTCCGTAATTTCGTAAACGCGATCTGTGTTTTCCAAAACAATTCTGCGAAACTAATTGATTATTTTGGCCCGCTGTTCGTTCGTGTTGCTGGCGGCAACGGAAGACAAGTCAATTTTCTCACACCTTTTTCTACGAATTAATTTGTTGGCCTTAATGGTTGTTTCACCTCATCCAAGGGCCAACAGTTGACTGTTGATTGCCAGCGAACATTTCGTGGCCATAGATGCTGGCGATTATGCAGATGGAGCCCCAACAATCTTTCCTACGCATTTCAATGTTCCCTCTTGCCAGTTGCCAGATATTCTTTGATTTTTCCCCCTCAGCTTCTCTCACTATCTCGCTCTCTTTCTCCACCCCTCCCCGTCCAGACTAAGCGAGACATATTCTATATATATGTATTTAGAAGAAATCCAAACTGGAGTCTAGAAATAACTTTACTAGCTTTTCACCCATTTTCCGCACGTCTAAAATTTAAATCGGTTTTAATGCGAATTCCAAAGTTAAATTTTATATAGATTTTTGAGAATGACTTTGAATTTCATTCAACTGATTTGTTAATACTCTTACCATAATTAAATTACTATCAGTAATACGATTAAAGACAGATCCAGTGAGCATATCCACATAAATATATTACTTTGAGAGTGGGAAATTTCAGAAGCCCAAAATACTCTATTCCTACATGAACGAGCTTAACAAATGAACTCGAAATGTGCACTATATTGTTAACAAAATCCAAACTTTTCTATAGGGTTTTCCAGAACTAAATAAGCAAAGAGCTGAAATCGGTAACCGCGTAATTACTTCCGAAAGTGCGCAAAGCGATGAATTACTTGAGCAGAAAGCAACGTCAGCAATTTGTGCTGATTCATGAAATATATCAAAGTGTGCCTCGAGCTTCTGTAAATATGATTATGCGCTTAATTAATCAACAACAACAACAACAACAACAACAACTTTAAGAGCCTTTTTTTTTAGGTGACGGCCCCAGTTTCAGGTCGAAGGCTCGAACGGTAGCCGACGATGAATTTTAATCCCACTTTACACATTACGGCCACTTAAACTTTTGAGCAAAAAGCCAACAACAAAAAAAAAGAGCGAGAAATAAAGAGCAAGAGTTATGAAGAGGGGCAGATGGGGTTGGCTAAAAGAAAAAACCAAGCGAGGAGCACGGGCACACCCAATGTACAAAAAGGCGATCCGGCAATTTGAAAGCGAAAACTTTTTGGGGCCACCAAACAGGCAAGAGGCGGACAAGGCACCCGAACTGGAACTGGCACAGGGATTGGACCTGGGTACGATGTGCGACCACCGTGAATTTTTAAAAAAATTAATCTACCTACATATTATGTACGAATAGATAGAAGCTGCACAACCTGGGCCAGGTGACACACATGCAAGCATCCGGATTGCTGCAGATCGTATAGATATTGTTTATGTGCATATATCCATAGGGTTGTGTGCGAGTGTGTGTGTGTGTGAGTTCGTAACATATGCTCGAAGCTTGAATGGCCCCAAAAACTGTGCGATCGTTGCTTACATTTATTGATTTCATCGCAACAACAAAGAAGTAGATCCAAGACTCGACCAGAGCCAGACCAGCGGAAGAGCACAGAGAGGGGAAGGGCGGAAGATGAGCCGCAATCTCAACTGGTTGCCTCTGCCTTGGTTGGGGGGAGCAGTGCATCGCATTAAGCGTAGAACAGTGGCAGCCGCACAGCCCCAGAGCGATTTACCCCACACCCATCAACATTTCAACTTAATTCCTTTTCGAGTCGCCTTCTGTCGAGCAGCAATACCCTAAACATGGCATATGCGAACTGATGAGAAGTTGGAGATCTTTTAGATGTGGGCACAGATAATTGAGATGGAATTCTAACTGACGAATATTGGAAGAATTTCTTTTGTTATAGGGGATTTCAAACCACGCTCAGACTGCTTGAACATCGGTGAGATGACACACGCGCAAATCTTATGCCCGGCAGGTCATATGTGAGTCTGTTTAAGCCGAACCTTCTACGTTGTTTTGCTTGCTGATTGGCAAGGTGCTGGCCGGGATGCCGCGTATGCAATGAATTTGTTCCACTATACGTGCAATCATGTCGCTGTCGTTGACTGCAGCTTCGAGTCGGGCCTCAACCTGGAGTTGGCTCCCGGTTGCTGCTCCCTGCTCCGTTCCTCCTTGTTTGTGTGTTTGTGTGCTTGTGTAAATCAGTAGCTCCGTATTGAATCGCTTGCGGTACACGAACTTTGGCTACGGTCCAGCTGCGACTGCGACAGGCTCTTCCACACAGCCGAGGCCAGTGTAAGCGGCTTTAGTGAATCTCATTTTACAGGCATTTAGGTCTGAAACCTAACCATTTTACAAAGATCATCTTGAGGCACTTATTAGACACAGACATTGATGTTTCGTAGCCCCGAGAACTGTCCAGATACAGGGCATGTCTGCATCTTTATTCCAACTGGCAAGACTCTCTTTTGGCAATGAAATCAGAATTAAAATATTTCTGCCTGTGATCAACCAACGAACTTGGCATTCCCACGCCAACGCCGAAGGCAAATCCAATGTGAGCAGAACAGGAAACAAGACATATTAAAACATCCATCGAATACGATTACGGCAATCGCATCGGTTACGGCTAACCACCCGCATAAAAGATGTCGCTGTTAGCCAGAGTTAAGTTGTCTCGTTCCCAGCGCGACAATTATCGATGCTTGTCTGGAACTGAAGGAGGAGGAGGAGGAGGCGACTGGAAGAGATGACTCATGTATGACACTTAAGTAATAATGGGCCGGGGCACTTAGCCGGTAGGCCACCTTCGATCGTGAACGAAATGACTTTTGCAGGTAACTCCATTTGGGCCAAATTTAGACATTATCACCGACGCACACGCACATACGCTCACACACACAGACACACGAAGAGATCATTGTTCTGCGGCTGTGTAAATGCGTGTAATTCCATTTTATGGCTCCTGTACGCCGTTCTGCATCCGCATCCAACTCGTTGCACGTCTCCGGCTGCCCCCTTTGCCACATGCTCGCCGAGTCTGATGGAGTGTAGAAATATAACTAACAAAAAATGCCTACATAAAATTGTATTTAGTCATGCTACATCACTTTGTAATAATTTTCATTTTGGCGCTTGCTTTGATCTTAAGCCGCGGACCGCGTGCGGCGTTGTCTGCTCCTCCCTTGGCACGGCCCCACCTCCACCCTGGCGCAACTGTCAGCCGGTCAAACTGCCACCGTGTGGCGTTCGGCTCACTGCGTTAAATTTGAAATAATGATCATGGTGGTCTGCGCCAGCCATTGCCAGGCAATTTAGCAGCCAGCTCCGATGCGAACCCGAAACCGAGCCGTAGACTCCAGCCGTTCCCAGCCGCGGCGATCGCAACTGTGCCATATGATTGAGCAATCTTCAATAATGTGAATTGAGCATGAAGTTAATCAAATCTTAAAGCTAATGCATTGTCGCCCAGCTGGGAGGAGCAGGCCATGCAAGATATGCAACTCGGAGTATGTGATATTAATTCTGATAGAAATTTAGATGCGCTAGATGCATAGTTGCTGCTCAGGCTTATTGCTGGGTTTTCCACACAAATCAACAACATTTTGTTGAAACAATTCAATACGATATTTGAACCAAAAGTTGTTCGGTGGCTGCAATTTGGTTTGGCTTAAGGTTTGGCTTTCTCTCTCTCTCTCTCTCTCATACAGGTTCTCCTATCACAGATATTATTGATTGCTTAACTCTCAGTTTTGACTGCCCAAACACGAATTCCGTACCCTTCTATTTGCACACCTACAATTTTCCAAACAGGATAGCCCCATATGGTTTTTATTTACCCGCAACAACGTCATGGTAACTTCTCAATGTTTGTTTAGCATGCAAATGGCAACGAGCCGTGTAAACTGACCACTGGCTCATATATCATTAGTTGACTGACCATTTTCCCTATAAATAGCACGTGTTGTTTGTTTACTTTCCTCTCTGTCTCATACCCCAGCTCCCTCTCTCGCTCGCTCGCTGGCTGTCTCTGTGCGTTTGACCTCAGCATGTGCTCGTATTCCATGTGCAATGAATTCATGGAAAATGTCATGTATTTACGGTCATCTCGGCTCGGCCTTCCGACACTTTTATTCCGGCCAACTGTCGTGACCTTGTTGGCGTTTTGATCTTTTATAGCTGTTGACGCTGTTCGCTATTAACAAACTGACCATTTGCATCTTTGTGTATATATGTAGCTATATATATGCATATAGTTAGAGAGCTATTTGTGTTTTGGCGTTTGTTGAGCCACTGAAATTTATGACAAGGTCAATGGGATTGCAATATACCCTACAACCACCAAGAGATGCCCATCTTAGCTCTGGTAAGCTATATTTTAGTAACAGATCAAAATGATGTCTTAAGTTTTTTGGTTATCTATTAATTTACACCATGACATTAAAATTGTTGAGTTGAAGGTATATTTCGCCTGTAGAATATTTACCTAGCTCAGAGTTAGATTGTTGAGTGAGTTCTACGTGAAAATCGCTTGGCAATTTTCTCGTATTCAAAGTGGATTTGCCGTTTACAGGCTTTGGATATTCGCTGCCCAAATGCTCACATAAAGTCGAAAGACCAATTAATTATGGTCATTGAGTATTGGAACAGTATGTGACAGCGAGGCCCAATCCCAAACCCAATCCGCAGACACATTCGCAAACACACAAACATAAATGACAACTCGACTTTGACTTGGCTTGAAACTTGAAGTGGCGGGCTATGCTGGAACTGGACATGGACATGGATTGGGTTGAGATGGGATGGGATGGGATGGGATGGGATGGGATGGGACCACACAGATCGTGTGTGACGGCGATAAAAATCACAGCATGCTGCAAACAGCGACTCCGATGTTGTTCCTGTTGTTGTTGTTGTTCCTGTTCTTCCTCTTGCTCTTGCTGTTGCTGTGGCTGTTGCTGTGGGCAAATCTTTTGACAGTTGTGTTGAAGCATAAAGATGCCAAAAGCAACAACAACAACAACAGCAACTAGCTACATCAGCCAAGTGCGTGAAAAAGCATAAATCCGAGCCCGCCGTCCCAGACGCAGCACCAAAAGCGCATCAATCAAACGGCACCGCCAACGCCGCAAAGCAATCCCCAAACTCACACACAGCCAATCACACACACAGAGAGAAACACACACACACACACACACGCACACATAGTTAGTTCGATCAATCATTTATTATGGCGTCGCTGATGGAGGCCCCATCGGGCTTCGTTGGTGGGCCCCAATATCCAAAGTCAGCCCCATTAAGAAAATATATATTTTGAAAATATTCGAGACCTAGCTACATTTTCTATGGTCCGAACGAAACGATCAATTTTTATTTTCATTTTTATATTTTATTGCTCATTTAAGTTGTGTCAATAATTGACTTGCTTTTGGAATGGTTAGCCAAAGGAACACTTATCTATGAGGTGCCGAAGCTGAGATACCCTACCCTAAATAGATTGCAGATAATACATTAGATTATAATGGGCCATATGATATAGTTCTCCGATTCGGTCTACTACAATATGCTGATGTGCTGCCTGCTTGAATTTGTATTTCATCTAACTCCGTGTAAAAATGTCTATAAGGGCAACATTTTACATTGATCCAAATTCTGAATTTGACAGTATTTTATAATCAAGAAGTTTTTGAAATTAACTTCAGGTCCAACAAAGGCAACTTTCAATAATTAGTATCAATAGCTTTTTTATAATTTATTATATATTTTAAATATTATTTTTATTAATTTATGATAATTCAATCACATTGCTCTGTCTGTTGCAAAAGTGATCTCAACATCAGTTTACCCGCTTGAGCTTTCTCAGTGTGTACAGGGTACAAAGACATATTGAAATTCCAACAACAAATATTCGATGAAATTAATTGCATCACACAAACAATCAGAACAATTATATGTGTAAATGAAATAAACAAATGAATAAATAACAACACCAACAACAACAACAACAACAAAACACTCAATTTGGCCTCCCAAGTGGCCGCTGTTGGTGGGCTGCCGACTGCGGACTGAGGACTGCGGACTGCGACTGCGCTGCCAACACGAAATGTTGTTTCGTTGTTCTATTGAAATTGTTGTTGTTGTTGTTGTTGCTGTTGTTGTTGTTGCTGTTGTTGCTGTGCTGCTTTTATCGCCACATAAATATGGAAATTTTTCATTAGCGATATCCGTTTCCGATTTATCTTAATGGCCCCAACGCTGTGGGCTTTTTGCTTGTTGTTGTTGTTGTTGTTGTTGTTGTAATTAAGAATGGCTACCGTTTGGCGCTTCGGCAGCGGTGGGTCCAGCATGTTGCATAAACTACATGAACGTCGACTGCGACTGCGACTGCGACTGCGACGGCAACTCTGTGTGTGGTCCTCTGATTGAATGTTCAAGCTTTGGCCAATGAAAGCGGCTATTAAGTCTGGCCAGCCAACCAAGACACAGTTGGCAACTTGGGTGGCAACATGCCATTCACCAATCCCACACACACACAAACAGAGCTCTTGTCTGTGGCGGCGGCGCCGCAAAAAAGAAAGCGCGTGCAACAGCAACAACAACAACAACAACAACAAGAAGAAGAAGGAGCCGACAACCAGGGCAGGGAAAAAACTCAACGGACCGGAACTGCAACTGGCGCTATATGCAATTATAAACTGCATGTCTCTCTCTCTTGCTCTCTCCCTTTGCAGCAACAATAACAAACAGTAGCAAGATTTGCCTTTGCCATAGATTGACAGCAACTGCAGTCGGAGATAGCTTCAAACAGACAGCGGTTATTGGAAGCGGGGACCACCAAGATGCCCAGATCCCAAGCTGCTAACTGTTGGCTGCCGGCCGGGACTGCCTTGTCAGGAGCAGCAGTACACTGGCAACATGTTGCTGTTGCTGTTGCTGCTGTTGCTGCTGCTGCTGCTGTTGCTGTTGTGGCAGCTCATCTTTGTTGCGCCTTGTTTTTGATCTTTCACGCTGTAAATTATACAGCGGCAGCAACCAAACCGACAACAACAGCAACAACAATATATTTGTTGTTGTCTCCGATTTGATGCAAATTGTTGCTGTTGCTGTTGCTGTTGCTGTTGCTGCTGCTGTTGCTATCTGTCTTGCTGTCAACAACACAAATAATTGTTGGCAACATTGCATGTGAAACGGTTTTCTTGTGTTGGCAACAACATTTGCTTGTCATAATTTTAATACATGCTGGCGGGCATATTTTAATTTGTTGATGCTACAGTAAAGTTTGCCTATGTGTGGCCCGAGCCCAAATTAGCTTTGTTCCCATGATTCAGTTTTATTTCGCTGGAACCCTTTTGCTATGCTTCATTTAAAAAACAACAACAAATGCTGAAAGCCATAAAACGCATCATAAAAACATGTTTAACGATTTTTGCACACAATTCTTCCTAGAAGAAAACTTAATCCAAATGGCAAATAAAGAATGTTTTTTCAAATAAAAGCTAAACTCGTTATTTTAGGCCACACACAGCGTGCCGGGCGCCCAGAAGCCGGCGCACACTTAAAAAGCCAATATAAAAAACAACAACAAACAAATAATTGCTAATTTTATGCTCGAATAAAAAACGTTGAAGGATCAAAATGGGCACCCAAATGCGGCAGCAGTCGAAGCAGCAGCGGCCGCAGCATAAATTAGTGTGAGCGAAATAGCATTACGAAAACGTCACGCACTATCAAACAAGAAAATGATCAATGGGGGCACAGACACACACTGGCAGAGGCAAACGTAGACAGCGAGAGAGAGAGAGTGAGCGAGACAGAGAGACACACACTGGCAAGAGATAGACCACCCAAGACGAAACAACGAATAAAAGGCCACCCACGAAGAGCTGGCACATGTGCGTGTATGAGTGCGAGTATCAATGCGAGTGTGAGTGTGCCTGCGAGTGTGTTGTGAGTGTAGTGAAAAGACCTTTGAAAACAAATTCAGCATTGGCTATGAAGGGTAGAGATATGCTGAGAAGATAATTGAAATATGTACAACTTGAACATGTGCGCTGAAGTGGGCATACACAAATTTCAAAATAATAAAAAGCGGACAGAGACAAGCATAATAAATAAATAAAAAGCAAACATGTGTGCGCAAGCAAACAGGCTTGTAGATGTACACATATGTATGTGTTTACACATCAATTTGTAGTGTAATCCGCAACAGTTAGCCTTGCGAGTGAAAGAGTTGGAATCGTTTGATTACAAATTCTCAGTTGGGAAATTGCTTTGTGTGTTGCACTACCTATTAACTGATAGCAGGGAAGTATTTGTTAAAAAAAAAGACGTCACAACTTTCAGTCAAATACGATTTCAGTTACTTTTTGTTAGGAGTGCTGCCAGATCTACTAAAAATTATAATTTCGCTTAGATCGCCCTGTGCCTGGATATCGATATATCGATACACCAGAAGTGGCAGCGTTCATTTTACGGCGTTGCTGATTATAGGTGGCTCCTGAGTCAGCCTATTTAACTATAATTTATAAGAAATAACTCCGCTCTCGGATTTTATTTTCAGCTTATTAAATTTGTTGTTGCACGAAGATGCCACCAAAAAAGGCGCCTGGTCCAAGCAAAAAGACGGAGCAAAAGAAAAAGGAGAAGGTCATAGAGGTAAACCATAATTACACGTCTGTCCACTACAAAGTTGGACATAACCTCAAAGCAGAGACCACGACAATTTGCCGAAAACTCCCAACGTCAACAAATTTACCTCATCTTTGTGTTTTGACAGGATAAAACATTTGGCCTCAAGAACAAAAAGGGCACTAAACAGCAGAAGTTTATTCAGCAAGTACAGAAACAGGTGCAGGCCGGTGGCCATCATCCGCGACAGGATGGCGATAAGAAAAAGGAGGACAAGGAAAAGAAATTGGCGGATCAGCGCGAGTTGGCCATGATCTTTAAACCAGTGCAAACCCAGAAGGTGGAGAAGGGCACCGATCCCAAATCCGTGGTGTGTGCATTCTTCAAACAGGGCACATGCACGAAGGGTGATAAGTGCAAGTTCTCTCACGATTTGTCTTTAGAAAATAAGGTGGAGAAGCGCTCGATGTATGTGGATATGCGCGATGGCGAGGACGATCCGATGACCAACTGGGACGATGCCAAGCTCAAGGAGGTGGTCGACAAGAAGCATTCAGGCGAAAAGCGACGACCAACCACGGATATTGTAGGAATAACTCGGATGCACGTAGCATACATTTATTTACCTCGAACGTAATTACAGATTTGCAAATACTTCCTGGAAGCTGTGGAAAAATCAAAGTACGGCTGGTTTTGGGAATGCCCCAATGGGGAAAAATGCATATATCGTCATGCGCTTCCGTCTGGCTATGTGCTGAAGAGAGACAAGAAAAAGGAAGATAAACCGACGGAGATCTCGCTGGTCGATCTTATTGAGAAAGAACGCGCTGCATTGGGGCCCAATCAGACTCGAGTTACTTTAGAATCTTTCCTGGCCTGGAAGAAGCGCAAGATACAGGAGAAAAAGGAAAAACTGGCAGCCGACGAGGAACGCAAAAAGAGCGACTACAGCAAGGGCAAACAGTTCGGTATTTCTGGTCGCGAAATGTTCAGTTTCAATCCCGATCTGGTCGACGATGGTCCAATTGAAGAAGGCGATGCCGCGTTCGATATCTATAAGCGCGAAGAGGATGACGACGATAATATTGTTGAATTTAAGGAACTTGACTTGGCAGCACTCTCTCTGGCCGCTAAGGAGGTGGATGGTTCCGGCACGATTGCATCCAGCACAAGATTACTCGATCAAGCAACAGAAGCAGCCAAGACTGCAGCAGCCGAGGACGCGGCGCCCTCTGTGTCCTGCGCTGACAGTGCGCCCGCCATCAACAAAGATCTATTTGTGGATTTGGATTTGGCGGGCGAGCTAGACGACCTAGATCTTGACGACGATGATGAGGATGATTAGCCGGCATCAACAAGGAGAGCAACTCTTTGTTATAGTTTGATATTGAATTGCATACACGTTCATATAATGATTTCTGCCTTTAGCAACTTTTGATCAATAAAATTGTGGCTATCACATGTTGCATAAATATCCTATGCCATGTTACTGCGCATTGCTGCATTGTTGTGAGCTCTAAAACTGTCGCATCTACAAAGTTGTCCCTGAGAGATTGCCCAACCAGAGAGATGTTACCAGCAGCCCGTGTGAAACATATAATTTATTTTATTTAACTGAGATCATATCCATTTAAGCACTATACACAAAGAAACATAATTTAATTTTATCATCGCCTCAGTCCTCTTTCATCTCGTCCTCTTGAGCTTGAATCTTGTCCATGACACACCTATTCCAAGCTGCCATTTTCGCGGCCAGCTCCCAAAGACGGCGCAGATGCAGTTGTCCATCGGCCACGACCTGACGCAGTTTCTTTATAACCCAATTGACTTTTTTGTTCCTCGACTTAAAAACATAGTTAAAATTGCGCGATTCATTGACATAGGGCTGTTTTTCTGCGACTGACATACGATTCCACACCTTACCCGCGATCCTCAGACATTGTGAATCAGATAGATGGTAATCCCTTACCTTCTGATTCTTGCGGAAGTGTGTCACGAATATCAGAAAGGGTTTGCCATTGCAAGGTGCTGTATTTACTTTGCACCTGCTACTATTTTTTATGCATTTCCATCCGGTTTGCATCGATGGACACTTAACTGGAACCATTCTACATAAATTTTGACAATAAATAAGTTCATAAGTTTCTAAAACAAAAATTTTGATTAAAAAAGGCGTGCGACATGTCATATATTTTTTAAACAATTGAATTTTGAGATAGGAATTAATTGTTATAAAATAGGTTTTAATTTTCTTTTAACGGAGAGATATATATCTATATATATCCTTTTCATTCTCAGACTCGTAAATTATTTATATGTATATTCTTATTTCCTTTCAACAATGCTCCATAAATCAAACCGAAAATGAGTTGTATTTCATTTTTGTGGCTGCATCATTTTGAGACATTAAATTCGTACTCCGATCAGCTCTTTAGGCACTTCCAAGCCTTAGGAGCTAAACAGATGCAATCTTATTTAGTTAATCCATAAAATCCCTAGGCTAGCCTGTTTATCCCATCCAAAAAAACAAAATTAAGCAGCCTTTTGTGCTTAGCTTTATTAAACAATAAGTTGGGCATACACTCGTCTTAAGAAAAATATCTATTAATTAACGTTGCAATTCAATTCAAGTAAATCTATTTACTGTACAGTTACCAAAAGCCAGGAGGCAGCACACCCACAGCTTGCGGGATTTGGCGTTCACGCAAAAATTTAGAGAGAAGCATTTCTAGCCGTGTCTTGGGTCCGCCCTCGTCATACGCTGACAGCTGCGGCATATAGATCGTCTGTATGTAGACAAGGAGCTTTAAAAAGTTCACGCCGTAGGCATGCCACAGCTCGAAGCCCAGTGTCTGCAGCATCTCCATGATCATGGTGGCGCAAATGTCGGGAAGCGGCTTAACATGCATGATATGGGTAAGCCAACGCCAAGCCTCGTCCAGGCCAAAGCAATGAGCGGGTCCATCGGCCTTGCGGCCGGGTGTTATAATAACTGCCGCATAAAGGCGAGCAATCCCCGTTTGACGCTTCAGGAACATGTCCGGTTTTTCCAGCTCATTGTTCTCAGACAAGCGATAGCCCATTGTCTTTAAATATTGCTGCGGTGTTTGATCCGCCTGCTGTGGTATAACATACGGCACGAGATATGGCGACTCCTTGTACATGTAGGCCAAGAAGATCCTGCCGAAGTCGGGTAGCAGCTTCCAAAAGGTAACAATCACTGAGGCAAACGGAAAGGCTGCTTGCGGATTGCTCGATATTGCCGTGTCCGTTTGGCTAACAAACTTCTTCGCCATCAGCAGAATGCAATAGTCGCGCGCCAACGGATGATCATTTATCGTAATGGTGCTGCCGTCTGTGGTTCTCACTGGCTGTCCCGCAAAGAAATTATAGAGCTTGTCGAAGTTGTTGGTCAGGTGCTGGGCGCTGGTGGCCGTGATGGCGTTCAGCGGCAAATTGATGGTCCGCTGACAGTTGGTACGATACTTTTTCCATGTGTCGTCCGTTTGGAGTGGCTTGACGGCATCCACTTTGCCCTGGTAAAAGGCAATAATCTCGTTGTAGAACGCCAAACGCGTGGGATGCACATAGCTGTTCGAGATATTGCTGGGCGGCGTTGATGCGTTCGGCGCTATTGGCGCGTCTGCGGCAGGAGCTTCTTGTGCTGCCTTTGCAGCCGCCGAGGCGGCTGCAGCGGCATCCGCCGTTGCTTTAAGCTCTGCCTGCAGTTGCTGCTGCTTCTGTTCCTGCTGCTGCCTTTGTTGCTCCGCAGCTTCTAGTTGGCGCTGCTTTTCCTTCTCCTCGGCCAGCTCTTTGGCTTTAGTAAGCTGCTGTTGCTCCTGCTCCGACAGCTGCTTGTGCAGATTGTTTTCCAGCTTATCAAGGCGCTGGCAGTACTGTTCCGCTGTGAACACACAGCTCAACTCTGGCGGCTCGCTGTTATCATTTTTGATTTTCTCAACCAGCTGATCGAACAGTTGGCCCAGCTCGCGCAGCTCACTGTTCAGAGCGGCACATGCCTGCACGGTCTCCTTGTCCAGTGCCAGCAGCAGCTTTGTGACCGACTCGTACTTGCTGCAGAAGCGTCTGTGACAACGCGAAACTCCCTCGATTGTTAGCATATGCAGTTTTTGGTTGTTTTGCGTGAGCAGCGCACGTTGCTCTCGCTGATACGCCTCCAACTCTGCTCTGGCCAACTGCTCGGCCTGCTGCTGCAAAAGTTTATTAGTCTCTTCCCTTTTGGCCCGACTGTTGGTGAGCCCCTGTTGCTGTTCTGCCTTTTGCTGAACAGCGAGGCGTTCCCTTATCGCACCTTGTTGCCGTTCTTTTATCTCCTTTAACTGCAAGCGCACACTGCGCTTGCATTCCTGGTCTAGCTCTCGCTTAACGATACTTGCGTTTATCGCATTCACATCGGGAATGATGCACGAGTCAATATCCGCCGGCGACGTCTGTTTATTGACTTTGTTAACTAAACATTGAGAGGTGCCGTCTTTGGCCGGCTCGACAACTGGCAAAACGGTTGGTTTTTCCGCCCTCATTTCCAGCCGCGTCGGCTTCCTATCCGGGCCAATTGTACGCGGTCCTGTACATGCCAGAGAAGCCACTGCCGCGTGCTGGAGTACCGTATGCACATTCATCAGACGCGCATGGTCCCGCACCAAGTCATCCACGCTCTGAAATCAATTGCATGCTAAAGTAGCTAAAGATCTTTACATTTACACAAGGGACTAACCATTTTGCTAACTTAATAAAATATAGTTGGCGGTCTGACGCCGGCGATACAAAAAAAACACTAAATAACCCATAGAGATGGGTGGCTGTAGTTCAATAGGAACTGGTTCCGGAACCAACGGTGAACAATGTGAATCCATTTTTGAGCTTGTATATTGGTTTATTTATTAAATATAATGTGGGATATTATTTTGTCAAAAACAAAAAGTTACTTATTGTAATAATAGTACGATAAAAAACTTGATTTAAATTAATCGTCTGGGAATAATTGTATCTTGTGGAAAAGTACGGTAAATTGTTGCCCGATAAATTAGGTTTAAGTTATCCGCTTTTTAACAATAATACACAGATTTAATAATGAAAAACAAATATTGTTGTGCTATATTTAAAACATTGCATATTGAAAAAACAAGCACACATTTAAAAAAATTTTACACCATGGCTGCCATCCATTTCGATAAGTTCACACTTTCCCTTCTCCTCGAGTAGACGCAAAGCGCCTAGCAATACGTTCTCATCCATATTATGGAACTCCAACTGGTTGGTACTTTCACCAGAGATTATCTCGTACAACGTGCATATGCTATTCGTTTGTCCGGTCTCCTGAATCCAGTCATAGACCATGTTTCCGTACTCCTCTAGCGTGTACCAATACACCTGCCACTCCTGGCGTCGTTTGTCCAGCGGTGCTGCATGTCCACTTTGCTGCAGTTGCTCAAGAATGAGCAGTATTAGCTCGGGCGATAGCCGACGGTTTATAGATTCATTGCAAAATAATGGCAAGTTTTGATCGTTTGTAATAAGCGTAAACTTATTGTTATGTTTGAGGTATTTGAGAAAGAGATCTGTCCAGACCTTGAGCTGTTGCCGGCGTGTTTCTTCATGCGGCTGCAAGCTGTGGGAGAGCCATAAGTCAATGAACCAATTTGTTGCTATAAAAGTTACCTACGTGAAAAAAGGTGGAAATGTGTACTCCCAGGGCCATTGGAACTCGGCCATTGTTTTGTTAAATTGACGTCATGTCACGGACAAAAAACAAACATATGTTCAAATGGGGTTGCCACATAGCAACAGTTTACTTGCTGCCAGACTGTCGTATATCGATAACCGATAAATTCTCATTTAAAACGAGAGCGCGCTTCGCCAGCAACAAGAATTTATTCACATGAATTAAGCGCTCAAATTGAAATGCATTCGATTTTCTTCTTTATTTGTCTTAATTAGAAAAATTGTGTACATTAACATTTTTATTCCACACAGTTTAAGTTTATGTCGTCTTTGCTATTTCTTGTAATTGTTACATTTCCATCCAAAAGTAAACATGTAGAGACAAAAAGAAGTTTGTAGATATCGGCATTTGCTTTGCATTATAATCATAAATATCCATTTACATATATACTCATATCAGATATATATTCTTGATCAATATATTTAAAGTACTAGGAGGCGCAACACTATACATTCAATATTTCTGTTTTTATTATAGATTCATTTAGTTTCTCTTTATTCTGCTTTACCAGCTGCTTTGCCCAACTGCATCAATACCACTTCACTGCCTGTTGCCATTTTGCAATCCATTTATACCTATTTAAATTTAATGCTGTTAGTAAACATATGTTTTTGTTTTTTTTTTTTGTATATAAAATTTAGAAGCATCTTTGTGCTTTAGAAGTAATTTGTTGTCTATTTGTGCTCATCATAATAAGTTGTGATCTCTTATTTGTTGCATTCTAACTGGCATTTGAAGTAGGCTTGATTTTTATATTAATGGTAATTTGTGTTTCATGCTTGGGTGAAGGAGAGCTGTGCAGGCAGTATATATTTAGTTAACGCGTATTTCGCGTGTTACGAAATATTTGGTAATATTATATTTTGCACTTTGCTTTTGTCTTTATTTGGTTTTTGTACACATGCGCGGAAATTCTCTAGAGCCGTTTAGGGAAACAAAGGTGTCTCTTTATAGTTCAGTTTGTGTTAGCTAGTTTAAAGAGTTTTACAGTTAGTTCCTAGTTAACAAGTGAGGTTTGGTTGAAATCTTTCTTTACTATATAAGTAGGTATATTTTACTGTTTCGGGTTTCCTCCGACTGTGGAGTTATGTACTTAGCATGCTTGTAATGCTAATTCTAAAGACATTTAAATATCAATAACATTTCTTGTCTCGTACATATAGTAAAGCGCTCTACTAATTCTTTTTATTAAAAAAAAAAAAGAAAAGAATGGTACAAAATAAATGCCCTATATTTGTGCTTAAAGCATATTGATGAAAATGTACACTTGAAATGCTTTGCTGGATCTCTTAAAATAAGTTTAAAAGAAATGCAATAACAAATGGCATACAAATCGAATTAGAAATAAATAAAAACCATGCGCATAAGATTTGTTTCACATTTAGGGTCAGCGTGGGAAATGAACGTTAGTGCATCTAAGCTTAATTTACAGCACGTTGCGAAAAAACGATTTCCCATTTTCGTTTTTCGATTTTCTCAGTTGGTTTATAAATTTGAAACAAATCTTAAGCAAAAATTATTGTTTTCCTAAGTTATTAATTAGCGAAAAAAAGAAATAAACAATATACGCCCTATAAATTACATAAAATACATAATATGCTCGCCCTAAATATCATTTACATATAGTTCTCAGATCTTATACACATATACACATATGGTATAGTAATTGGTAACCTACTTAAAAATGGCATGTGGGTGACATGTATGCGCTTCACATACATTATACATTACATATTACATTATACATATACATACAGTACATACATTTATATATCGAGTTGTATAAATTGTGAGCGACAACAATATCCATTTAATTTTCATATTGAATTTGTTTTGCTCCGCATTGGTTGGTTGGTTGGTTGGTTGTTTAGCCTATGGTCTAATTGAGTTACATATACATATAAAGTTTTGGGATTCTCGAATCACTGCACGTATAGCATGACATGACAGCATGTTGTTTCACACAATGCTCCATATTTCGACTAATGACTAATACTAGAGGTATAGCTAAACCTAAGCTACAATTTTTGCCTAAGACAACGATCAGCTGCCTGCCATGCAATGTGTGGAGGGCTGCTGTCGGCTACTGATACTCTTGCTGTTTACTTGGCCAATGGCTCCAGGTAGCAGCGCACAGTATTATTCTCATCCAGCATAGCCGATAAATGACGCGCCTGCTGCTGTTGCTGGTGGTGTTGTTGATGCTGGATATGGTGTGCAGGAGCATGTTGCGGGTTGCTGTGTGATGTGTGCGACGACGAAGATGTTGTGGACTGCGGTGATAATTTTTGTAGCTGCTGACGCTTTTGTGCGGGCGTCTGATTGGCCGGTGGCAGCGGCGGTCCTGCATTACCATGGCCAAATAGCTCGTTTACCGCCAAACGTGCGCTCGGTGACTTGGCATTCTGTTGCTGTTGTTGCCGGTATGCGCCACGCATGGAGCCCTCACCAACGCCGCCGCTAACCCCAAAAACCGCTCCATTGTGTTCTGGATGGTTTATTGATGCTGTTTGGGCCGACGCCCCATAATCCAAGGGTAAGCCATTTTTTCGCTGCTGGCGTCTGCAATTATTCAGAAAGTTAATTTTTAAACTATCGAATAACAAATTGAGTGTCTTACTGAAACCGCCGCTTAAAATCCTCGTCCTGAAGCGCCATTAGACGACGCATGCGCTCATCACTTTGAGGCGGCAATCCGTGAGTATCGTCATCAATATCGCTATCATTATCTTCATCATCACAGACGCTGTCGTGCAGCTGTTCCGCTGCCGTCACCTCGTCATCATACTCATCATCATCATCATCGTCATCATCATCCGCTACACAACGTCGTGGCGGCTGCTTCTGTTTTTGTTGCTGCTGTTGATTTCTAGAGGTAACGCTTCCTCCGCTAAGACTACCACCACAATAGCGATTGCCTCCGGCAGCTACCGCGGCGCGCATACTGTTAAAGACGCCCGTACCAACACTGTTGTTATACACTTCATCCACGTCAAAGTCACCAACTTCATAGTGTTGCCCATCTGAATTTCGGTTACTCAGAATCTCTTCATAAACTGGCCCACCATCACCGCCACCATTGCTGCTCCCGCCTTGATTGTAATAGGCATCGCCGAGTACCATGCCCATGCCTTTTCCTAAGCCCATCCCCTGGCTAAGATCACAGTTGGAATGCTTATTTCTATACTGTTGGCGCTGCTGTTGCGCTAACAACTCCTGTTGGTACTGCGCCATGTGTGGCGGAGGCGCTGGCAGTTGTGGTCCACCGGCACGTCGCTGCTGATGCTGCAAGTGCAATAGGTGTGCATGCTGTTCCGCCTGCTCTTCATCCGAGGATAGCTGTTGCTGTTGCTGCTGACGTTGCTGACGCAACTGCTGCTGCTGTAGCTGTTGCTGGTAGTAAGCTGCATTGGGTGGGTCCAGTGCCTCGGCATAGTGTGGATAAGCTTGAGTTGCTGGTGGTTGTTTCAAGCCGCTGGTTTTCTTGTACGATGGGTAAAATAACACCTGGGAGGCGGCCGTAACACGGCTGTGGAGAGAGCCGCTAGGCGAGGCGGGCACAGCGCCGGCATTTCCTCCGCGCTTCTTTTTGCCGTGTTGGTTGTTGTGTTTTTGCGTCCAGTAAAATACCTCATGCGCCTGTGATGGTGAGGCGCCTCCAATTCCTGCATTAGCAGTGACTCCAGTATTGTTGTAGTATTCTCGCTGACCTGCCTGCGGATGCTTCCAGCTGTAGTAGTCTGGCTGATGATAGTAGGCCTCGCCCGGCTGTTGGAGCTGTTGTTGCTGTTTATGTGCAAATATAAGATGCGTCGAACCAGCAGAGCTTGTGGGTGATGCATGTCCCACGCTAGCCATGCCAGTAGAGCGCAATGTTCCTCGCTCGAGCACTACCGCACCAACTGGCGTTGGCTGTAAACTGCCTGTTAAAAGCCCACTTTTGAGCGTGCGTCGCTGCTGGGCTTCATTTAGCTCGCTGTCGGAGCCGGCGCCCATGATGATTGCATCGTCGGCGGCTGGCACATCTTTCTGCTGCTGCTGTTGTTCCACAGCTCGAGCTTCGTCGGTTGCGCTCAGCGGCAATTTTGACTTTGACTTGGAAAGTGTACCAGCGGAGTTGTTGGCGACGTTTCCAACGCCTGGCCCGCCATTACCAGCGACAACGCCAGAGGAAATGGATGTTTTTGAGCAACGCAGGCACTTAGGCAGCCAGGCGTGTTGGCGCACATACTTGCGATACTCGCGCCGTATCTTCTCGTTTTGTATGCAATGAAACACAAATATGTAGAGGCCTAACATCGTGTTGAAACAGATAAAGCAGTAGCCATAGACGGTGGCCACTTCCTCGTCCAGTTTGGCGCCACGCAAATAAAAATAGGCGCAGCACCAAACAGCGCTCAGGAGCAACAGAAACACAAACGAGCAGCGTATGTCGAAGCTATGCAAATAAACACAAATACATTAACACATGACCTCCGGATCAATATATATATATAGGCTGCGCCACATACCGCACGTTGGCTAGACGCGTGTGCTCCTTTGTCTTCAATGTAGTACGACTTTTGCGACGCATGATGATCCACGACAAAAATGTGTAGCCAATGGCCGCCTGTTCAGAAAGTCGGGTATTAGGCAATGAATGCAATTGAGTGTTTAAAACAGAAACCTACCACAAAAAATATCAAAATGGGTGCCACAAATGTTGCATAGAAGAGCGCATTGGCTTCCATAAGGACACAGTAATCATTTTGCGTGTAGGTGCTCGGATTGATTGCCAGGGAAATGGCCACGACAGTTAGTGAGAGGCCATATGACCACAGATAATAGCAGTTAACCTTTGGCGTTTGATCCACTTCCAGGAGCAGCTCATCAGATGTGAGCGTGGAGTACGAATGGAAGGCTGAACATAATTTGGAAACGTAAGTTAAAAGCTGCGCTGCGCAGAGCCTATTAGCGCTTACCTTCGTAGCAAAACCAGGCGGTGCCCGAGAGTATGGCACAGTGCAGAAAGATAGTTATGAACCCACAAAAAATGCTTGTTTCGGTCTGTTCAATTCCCAGCAGAAAGAGCAGCTCAATGGCCAGCAGGCAAATGTAAATGCTGCTATATATCGAGGTGCGTGCAGACTACAGAAAGAGAGATTCAGAGTGGGAGAGAAAGAAAATTCGATAAAAATGGATAAATTGACAGTTGGAACAATAAAGCGCTTTAGATAGAGCAAGTTTTCGGTAACGCGGGCGACCCAAACAGAAAGGCAGTCAATGTTTCTTTTGAAACATTTCGTATTTGATTGTAAATAATAGTTCGTTTGGTTCAAGATAGCAAATAGATTGATAGATTTCAAGACTTTTGTTGCCCAACTTAATTTAGTTTACAATAATTTTGGTGGCTTTTGGTGGTGAAAATATCCAAAAATAAGTAAATAATGCATTATATGACTGATACAACATTTAGCGCATATGTGTATGTAATATAAAAAAACATGAATGTGAAACAAGGCACGAAACAAGCAGATAAATCTAACAAAAACATACAAATAATACAAAATGAATAAACACAAAATACAATTATTTACAATGCAAAATTAGAAACATTTTTTATTATTAATTACAGACACAAACAAAGAAAATTACGAAAATGACAAGAGAACTAAATGCATTAATATAATCTTGTTTTAAGTTAATTTGTTAGACAAGGAAATGCACATAAAAATAATTAATTTGTTAAGTTTCAATCTTGAAAGTACTCACAAAGTTTTTAAAGCATGCCAAAATGATATATTACTATTATACTTAAGGAAAATGCGCTAAACTTATATAAACTACAATAACTAAGAAAATATCTATGGAGGGTCAAGGCCAGAGCGTGTTTTGTGTTTGCAAAGTATTTTCCAAGAACAAATACTTTATAATTAAAAATAAAAATCAAATAAATTATTTGAACTCTATATGCCCGGGCCTTGCACTAAAGTCTTCTGTTTAGAATTGTGTTAGTGAAGTTAACATATACAATATAAGTTACTTAAGCTTTATATCACATGTGCAGGTCCAAAGGCGCCGCTGCAATTTTATATCTAACTATCTAGACAATACATATATCCACATGTCTTGCCTATGCAGCTATAAATATATGTATATTGTATATTTTATAACCTAGCCTAAAATTGTATAATTCTTATTTGTTTTCACCACCACCACCATTTATATTGCAAGTCATCCATGTTAGCCTGCATAATGATGTTGTTCGAGTCCAGCGCGTTACTGCCATCGACATTCAGATTATGATTGTGCTGTGAGTGCTGCGCATGTTGATGATGTGGCTGTTGCTGTTGTTGTTGCTGATGCTGTGTCTGCTGTCGCGTTTGCAGATAATTGTGGCTAATATTCAAATTGTTGCTGGCCGCAGCATTGGCAGCAGCCGCACCCACATGGGCCGCATGTTGCTGCAAAGCAGCGGCTATAGACGCAGCCGCCGCCGCAGCGGCAGCTGTCGTCGTATTGGTCGCTGTAGCAGCCGTTTGAGCTCCATGAGGATGCAAATTCAAATTGAGATTGTTCATTTGCATGCCGCGTTGCGGCTGATTCATGTTGTGATTATTGTGACTGTGAGAGAGCACTACAGCAGCAGCGGCCGCAGCGACAACCTGTTGCTGCTGCTGTTGTTGCTGTTGCTGCTGCTGAACATTATAATTTAAATTGTTGCGATGCGAGTTGCGTATAGAATTATGCTGTATAAAATTCGTGTGCTGTTGCATATTGTTGTTGTTATGGTTATTGTTTGGGGCAGTAGGCGTTGTGAGTGTAAGAGATTCATGGGTCTGATCGCGTATATTATTCTGTTGACGTCTGCTACTCCCCGCGCGCTGATGCGGCAGCTGCGTGGAATTTGCGTTTCTTACCTTGACGAAGACGCCATTAAAGAGCTTCAGTGTGAGCAGCGCTATTATGATGAAAACAACACAAATAGCGACGCTGATGTAGATAAATATACGCATATTTCCGTCAAACATGGTGAATAGCGAGTGCTGATGCTCATCGACGACATCCATAAGTATTGCAAAGTTGGTCAAATGATTGCAGCTGCAGACGCTGTGCGTGCGATTCGTAGACTCGAGACTGCAGCCATTGACGGACCAAGCGCTGTAAGTGTAAATTGATCTATATATCTGTATGCCTATTACCAAATATGCTTAGCGAATATTTACTGGTCAATGTAGTTCCAAAAAACGCAGGTGGGATTGCTGACATTTTCCGTTTTCAAGTGCTTTAGCACTAGTGTTATCGGGTGCGACAGCTGAATGTGGCGTCCCTTGCCCAAACTGGCTGAGATTACCTTACTGTTGAGTATACGAATACGCTGCTGCATATCTCCAGTGGCGGCATCGCTATCGTTGGATAATATAGCTGTGTTTCGCACTGTGTTTCAAATAAAAAAAATGTATATTTAAGCTTTAGTATTTGTGACATCATTTATTGCGGTAATGTTTCTTATATTATTCATTATTTTGGGTTTACGATGTCCATTTTTGTACAATAATTACGCTGACCCAACTAAATAAACTATATTAGAAAAAACTATTCTCCAAATGCAGCGCGCGCTGCGTGCTCGCTTGCTCCAGCTTAAACAGAGATGTATACTTGATCTGTATATACCTTACGATAAGTGATCTATGTTGAAAATTGGGTATTGGTATCGGGGTCCTGAGACCGACGCGTTTACACATGCAAACAGACTGCCATGATTAAGTCGACTTGGCTATTAATGCTGACCACGCTAGTAAGATCCAAAATGTTTCTTTCTGCCTATTCATTCATTTGCACAAAACCCCTAATAACTTTTTTTTATATATTTTCAAGGGGTTATGGTAAAAACTTCTGTCTATATGAAGAGAGAGCTAGCACAATAAATTTGGTTTTTGGTTAAGACCCTGATTAAGTAATGTAATGTATATTTTGGAATAATAGCAATACTAGATTCTTAAACTTACCATAGCTGCGTGCACTCTTTAAATCGAAGTGATCATAGCTTGGCTTCAATATGGATTCCAGGCGATCAAAGGCCGCAAACACAATGCGCACCAGGCCGCCCTCGCTGTTCTCGATTAGTGCTGAGCGAGGCAATTCAATGCGATCGGAGCTAAGCGGCCATTGATCAGAGTCGGGAAATACGACACTGCCGTGAATTGTTTTTGTTTCCAAAACGCGGACAGAGAGCACTAAAAAAGGGTATATTTCGATTAGGCTACATATATCAAACAGTTGTTTATTAGATTAGGGTACTTACATATATTTTTGACCTTCTGCACTACATTGCGCTCCCTGATTATGGTATCGGCTAGCAGAAAAGCGTTGTACTCAAGACCAGTTAGCAAGGAGGTGGCAACGCGCATCTGATCCTCTGGATTGAGATCCAACCAAGAAGATAGTTGCGATTCGTCAAGTAAATTGGAACCAGTTTTGACAACGCCGTGCAGCAGCTCCATAATAATAGCTTCACGCTGCCGCTGATCGGGAAACGTTTCTTTATCGTGAAGCATCTTCTCAGACATGGTTTGTATGATCTTCGTAGTGACGAGCATATCGCCACCATACAGCGTCTTACTGCTGGTTACCTCGGATAGATCGTTGGCAATCGAAATTAATGAAGAATCGCGTTGGTTAACACGCATTTCGAGGCTATTCAGCCAAAGACTGCGACACTGCGTCAAATCCGGCGTTAAAGGATGCCACGTGGGTTCAAAGTTACGGAGACGCTGGTTTTGGTTGACCTTATGTGCCATGCTAACTGGCGGCTCACAGCTGCTGCTGTTGTGCAAGCAATCACCTGCAGAGCTGGGCGGTATTGGAGTTGTGCTGCTGGCAACTGGCAAATCATCGTCATATTCATCGTAGCCCGCATCCGGTAGACGCTTCATCAAGACACAGCGCCATTTCGCAATGCCGGCTGCACCGCCTGGACATGGCTGTACATTGACATCGCCTACGCGAGTCATGTTCCAGAAAAGATTGCGGGCATGCGTCGGACCGCAAAACAATTTAGACTCATCATCTGTGCCCATACCAGCCGCATTCAAATTAATATTGTTTATAGTGCGCACCACACCGCCTGCTCCAGTCCCACCAATACTTAAGCTGCTATTTGTAGTACTGGCCACAGTGCCTGGTGTGCGATTAGGGGAACTTTTGGTAGTGAGCAGTGTGCCATCGTCGCTACCGGCACCACCCACGCCCGTTAAAATGCGTGTGTTGGATGGAGACGTAACATTGCCAGTGCTACCGCTGCTGCTGGACTTGGTGGGTACGGTCTCGTCCGTGTGGTGATGATGATGATGCAATTGAGGTGGTGGCGGCAATCCATCATGTCGACCACCCGGGTGCTTGGTCGTAGCACTGGTAACGCCTTTGAGTCTTCCACCAGGCAGCGTCGCCGTGCTACTGCTGGGCGTAGAGTGCGTGGGCGGCACTGCATTGATGCCATGAATGCCCACCACACCTGGCAGGCTGGGTAGACGCGGCGGCGGTGGTGGTGGTGCCTGTATAAGACCGCTACCATTGCCGAATATTGGCGGCCCATTGCTGAGTACCCAAGGCGGTGGGCTAGGCCTATTGGTAGTCGTTGATGTCTGTGCCGCCGAGATGCATTGATAGTGTGCTTCCAAATATTTGTGTGTGCCTGGACAGGGATCACCAAACATGCTGGTGGCCGCCAAAACACTGCAGCTTTGCTTGTGAGAACATCTGTGAACCGAAAGCATTTATTATTTACTAAATGCAGTTACATTTAAGGAAACTACAGTTCAACTTTCAGCTAGCATATATCGAAATCAGACAAAAACGTACAAAGTATGTAATTATTTAAAGAATGATCAATATACAGTGAAAGCTCCCATTTAAGCCAACTTTCGGGGCAGGTAAAAATGCTTTATTTCATATTCGTTTTAAATTTTCGGCGCCATTTTATTGCTCTGCGGCAAATTAGCTTTCAAATTAGCTACTTATATACTTGAATACTTTGTAGCATTCAACTTTTGTTACTGAAACTACAAAGCATGGATATTCCATGTCAGTATTAATACCAGAGTTAAATAGGCCACTTGGGATAACTAGAACTATCATGTTATCATAAAAATATATCGTGCCATGTAAGGGACTTTAATATTCCATACTATTTTCATTTACAAAAGAACATTGGCGAATTTATGGGACTTACTTTGAGTTTAGCACTGTGAGGCTCTTGGGAAACATGCAATTGACGCTCCACTCCACATTGCCGTGATCATTGCAGATAGTAATTGAGAAGCGACCGTAGTTGGCCCGTATCAAATTGATTAGGTCGCCTGGTTCGCATTCAATGGTGAGTTTCTTACCTTCGCAGGCGTAGGCGGTTTGATATTTGGGTGCTGCAAATGTTTCTACATGAGTTCGGTTTGTGCGTAACAAATAATCAGATATCGATATCAATCAACAATTATAGATGTATATAGTATATATATTATATGGATATGTGAAATAGAGAAAATTGTTATTAGCGCTGCGTTGATTTGTTGTAGTTTGGTTTGGTTTTGGTTGGTGGTTGGTTCTGCAAAGACACTTACGCACTATATATGGGGGCATATGTATATACAAGAACAATGTGAATATTTATATATATGCATCATGATACACGCTTTTTCGTTGCCTGCGATATACTTAGTATGTGTGGTGGTTGGAGGGTCGTTAGCGATGCTTTGTAGCAAGTAGAATAGTAGTCATAAATACCAAATCCTGCCAGGCAATGCCCAATGCCCAATCAACTCGCAGGTCGGCCTCCGTCTCGAGTGTTATCAATTGCTGTCCGAGTTTATTGAACTGTAAGACAAAGTTTCGGCATGATGTACTTATTTGATACGCTTGCTGCTGATAATGCAATAGACAGACAAACGACACAATCATAAAACTAATTGATAGAGTTCTGTTGACAACTTTGAGTCACTCTTGTATGCTGACAGTTTATCGACTTGATAATATAGGCCAATAATAATAGGTCCATTAAATAACGTGAGTCTTGAGTTGAAACGGAATTATTCGTTATATAAATATTTGTATCGGGTTTAAATAATTATATTTTTCTTCACTTTACCTTCGTTTTTTACTAATTCATGCTTTTTAAGTTAAGACAGTCTTCAAGTAATAGCAAAATAATAGCTGACATTGATGATTATGTCCATTGTATGTTTAAGGATAAGAATATTTTAAGTGGACAGTAACATGACTGACCTCTTTTTAGCGCTACTTTTCAGTACAACTTGGCAAGTATCAAGTGCTTAAAATGCTTAACGTAAGGCAATCTTTCCCCGCTGTGTAAGCCACTTGTTTAAGAAATTCACAAAAATTTAAATATGTATGCATTCTTAAAATATATTCAATCTATAAAAATCTGGATTTGAATATCTTTATATGCAATACTTTCAAAATTCAGGAGAAATATGATTGTATCTAATAATTAGTATTTATTATCAAAAAAAAATCATTTTGCTGCTTATTGATTTTGATTTCTACATGATTAAGTTATCATATGTGAAGTTCATGAGGTCACTTACCACAGTTCCCAATTTGTTGGACGCCATTGTCAAAGTAAGTTACGAACGAGCCACAACTGAAAGTACGATAATCAGGGCATTAGTCACATATATATGTGTGTGTGTGTGCATGCACATATTTACATATATGTATGCATGTAAAATTGAAGGGAGCAAAGATAAAATAAGTAAACAAAAAAAAAACAGCAGATAAACACAAAAACGGAGACTATAAATACACATACGACATACAAACATTGTAAATGCATACATATATATGTATGTGTTTGTAAGAATGTACGCACCCTTCATTTGTCGCTTTTCCAGCGAACAGACTCGTTTTCTTTGTACACTCAAATTGCATTCGTAGAAGTGCAGTCCCATGTAGAGAAAATTTGACGCTGGCTGCGCTGCTCCTTTGTCACACGCATACAAACGCACACTAACACAATCAAGTTTTTTCAGCTGCAGCAGAGACTGCGCTGCTTATGCCAGCGGAGCACCCTTTTTGGTCTTTGTTCTCAGCACTTTCATATGAATTTTTGAGTACGTTTTTCGGCACAGCACCCATAACTATAGTTTTTGGTTTAAGAGCAAGCTTGTTATTTGAACGAAAATTATAACTATTTGCAGTTTTTTAAAAATTGATTTGTAGTTTTTCTTAACTATTGGTGAACGCGACTGCACTTGCTGACGTATGAGATGTATTTGAGACGGCGAAGTTGAGAAATTCGCTTCGGAATGAAAACTGGTTTTGGTTTGAATTAGGGTCGCGTTTTTCGTGGCATTTATTTTCGATTTTCAGCTTTTTATTCAATTGATAGTTGCACACAAATTGTTCACTGGCATTAAGCCGTGCAAGAAGATTGATTCTCTTATTAACTGGATATTTAAAGCCAATTGTTTAATGCCGTTTTATATTTTATGATGCGAGCCTAAATCACACACAACTTTCTTTCAGAAAAATTCTGTATACTTAAATGAATGGTAGTCCATGCGTGGGAGAAAGACGGCAACATAATAAGCAAAAGTACATTTACAGTGCTGCCAACTTGCTCGCAAGAGCGCGATTATTTAAATTTAAATGTGTTATATTTGCTTTTTTAAAAAAGCTGCACAGTATGCCGAAAGCAAGATAAACCTAGTTCCGTTTGTATTAAGCTTAAAAGTAATTTAAGAAATAAACGCAAAATATCCGGTATCGGCGAGTTTTATCCACATGTAAAGAGTAATTGTGAAAAAGAATTATTGGAATACGATATGAAAACACAGTTCCGGACCAAACTGCAATTAAATCAGCTTTAAAATCTCAAGTGCACGTGCCTATAGTCCAGCTAAATTCTTATCAGACAATTGTTTAGCTGAACTTCCTGAATTATAGCTGCTATAAAATAGTCATTTGATTTGTGGGTGTAGTTCAGTATCGCTTCAAGTGTCAGCGCATTAATGCGCGGATGTTATTATTTTTATAGAATTATTATGGAAAAGGAGAATTATTTTACCACGTTCATGATCATATTAGTTATTCCGTGGTCCTTACAAGCCACTACCTCACTGACTGGTACTAAAAAGAAGGATCCAATTAAAGACTGTACACGAGAAATGAAGAACAAATCGGAAATGTGCCAGAATACAACACAAATCCAAGCGCCGCTTGTTAATCAAACGGTTACGGCTAAGCCAAAGTTGACGGAGTTTCAAATAGATGCCCACAAGACGATCAGCATCAGCAAGGATGATCTCAATGACCTGTTGGACGTTTATATGGCCAAGTTGGCTGAAAACGCAGCAACCATTCAGGACAAGGAGAATGAAATCAGTCAGCTACAGTCCAGGGATAAATCGGATGATGATCAATTAAAAAAGTATCAGGAGCTATCGGAAACATGCAAGACTCAAAATATATCATTCACAGCCACATTAGCCGAAAGAGACGAACAGATTAAGAGCTTGGAATCTAAGACCAGCACATACGGAGCGAGATTAAAACGAAAACAACATTTGTTAGGTCTGTATAAAAAACAAAACGAATCCGACGCGGCAACGATAAGCGAATTGAAAGCTAGGGTAAAAGCTTTGGAATACAGGCTCAGAGAAAGAAAAGATGACCTACTCGCCGACTGGGAGGCGGCAACAAACAGTTGTCTCCCCTATGGCAAATCCGCCGGAATTCATTTGATACAACTGCCCGACTTTCGACCATTTTTGGTGCCTTGCGACGGACTCACTGCAGCGGGCGCCGGCTGGACGGTTATCCAGCGACGCTTTGACGGATCTGTCAACTTCTATCGCAATTGGGTGGAGTACCGCAATGGGTTTGGCAAATTGAATGGAGAGTTCTTCATCGGCTTGGAAAAACTGCACAGATTGACCACGTTTCAGGCACACGAACTATATATTTCGCTGCGTCTATTTAATGGCACTCGACGATTTGCCTTGTACGATGACTTTATTATCGGCAGCGAGAAGGAAGGCTACGAAATGAAATTGCTGGGCAATTTTCATGGCAATGCCAGCGATGCAATGCGCACACACGACAAAATGAAATTCTCAACCTATGATAGGGATCACGACGAGTTCACGCACATCAATTGCGCTGAATACCATCATGGGGCTTGGTGGTACGACTTTTGCTCCCGCAGGTAGGACCCGAAATAGCCAAATAATAAGCTAACTACTTAATTTAAAAGATATGTTATTTTCTCTAGCAATCTGAATGGTAAATACTTCAAAAAGCAAATGGACAATGAACAAGGTATTTTCTGGGATCGCTGGTATAGCTTCAAGTCCCTAAAGTCGGTACAAATGCTCATCAGGCCAAAGAACGCGCACAACAATTAATAACCTAAGGCTTTTAATTTACTTTTATACAATATATCCGATATTGCTGAATTAAGATATCTGAATCTCTATATCGCGCCGACAGATACAGATAAGCCTCAAGTCATTTCCACGCCCATTTTTTTTGTATCTCATTTCGTTTCATTGCATTGCCCTGGTGCTTGTGCTCATTGACACACAAGTCAATGATGCAATTAATTTTATTTCAACAATTTAGACAAATCATATTTGGCGTGTGCATTATTCAGATGTAAAATAGACAGATAGCATCGAAAGCTTGTACATTCCAGTGAATGGCATTAAAAAGCAACGATAATGAATATCTCACTTCGTTGTCATCGAAAAAGTAATATTCATGAAATTATTTAAAATTACAACGAATACTTAATTGCTTTATTAAGTATCACTTTTATATATGTATATCTGTATCGTTTGGCCCAAAGCAGGTCGTTTTCATTAGTTTTTATTTTCATGTTAATAATAAATTATTGCAATGATATTGGGATGTAATTGTTAAAATTACTTCTTTTTAAGCATAATGAAAACGATATGGATTTTCATTTCTTTTTCATAGATAATGATATGTAATTTTGATTATCATTACTTTTATCAACGTTAATTAAATTTGAATTTGTTTATCTTTACACTTTTTAATGATAATGAAAAATAATGATAATGCTAACAGACACAACTCTGGTTCAGACAAATAACCTGTCTTTATTTTATTGCCAGATTTAATAAATATACAAGTAATAAAATGAACTGTTAAAATATTTATTCAAATGTTTCAATTAATCGTCTTATTCTTACTTATTATTATTGAGTACATTTGCTTTTTATACCCTAAACCCATTAAAAATGGGTGTAAGGGTAAATTGTATATTGTAAGGATCTCAGAACATATAAGAGCTATACACTTGATATTTTAGATGTAGGTGCTCCTAGTGCCTGCACAGATCGAGTTTGTTTCCGATAATCGATAATTTACTCCGTTTCCAAGCAATCGATACAAATCGATATCGATATCCTGTTTTTGGGCAATTTTGGAGGTCGCGGTCGGTGCGAAAATCGAAACTTGTTCGATGATATTTTATAATATATCTCGGGTTAATAATGTCTGATTTTGAAATGTTATACCTTTTTGAAGGCGTACGGATCCCTTCTATCAATTGACATTCTAACAAATTTATCATCGATGGGTTGAAAAATGTGGTTGACAAAAAAAAGATTCGTTCGTAAATTCATCCTTTTTGATGATTTTGCAATTCATACCATTTTTGACTCGTAAGGATCAGCTCTATCGATTGGCATTAAAAAAAGGAAACCCAAAAACACGTTCCAAAACGACATAACTCCTCGCGGAGGTGGCTCGGAGGTCGAGGTCAACGCGAAAATTGAAACTTTTTCGAAGTTTTTTTTTTAATATCTCGGGTAACAGCTCCGCGCGGAGATATGACGTTCCAAAACGACATAACTCCTCGCGTAGATATGACGTTCCAAAACGATATAACTCCGCGCGGAGATATGACGTTCCAAAACGACATAGCTCCGCGCGGAGATATGACGTTCCAAAACGACATAACTCCGCGCGGGGATATGACGTTCCAAAACGGCATAACTCCGCGCGGAGGTCGAGGTCGGTGAGAAAATAGAAACTTTTTCGATGATTTTTTTTTAATATCTCTGGTAAATAATGTCTGATTTTAAAATGTTATACCTTTTTGAATGCGTACCGATTCCTAGCATCAATAGGCATTCAAAAAAATTAATCATCAATGGCTTGAAAAATGTTGTTGACAAAATACCGATTTGTTCGTAAATTCAACCTTTTTGATGATTTTTTGGAATATTTCCGTCAAATAATGTCCAATTTAGCAATTGCATACCATTTTTGACTCGTAAGGATCAGCTCTATCGATTGGCATCAAAAAAGGAAATCCAAAATTTTGACCAAAATCGACAAAATGGCAAGGGGTTACATCACGTTTTTTTTTTTCAAAATCAAGGGTTACATCACGTTTTTTTTTTTCAAAATCAAGGTCGGTGCAAAAATCGAACCTATCTCGAAAATTTTTTTTTTATATCTAGGGTAATATATCCGCGCGGAGATATGACGTTCCAAAACGACATAACTCCGCGCAGAGGTCGAAAACTTTTTCGATGATTTTTTTTTAATATCTCGGGTAACAGCTCCGCGCGGAGATATGACGTTCCAAAACGACATAACTCCTCGCGTAGATATGACGTTCCAAAACGACATAACTCCGCGCAGAGGTCGAAAACATTTTCTATGATTTTTTTTTAATATCTCGGGTAACAGCTCCGCGCGTAGACATGACGTTCCAAAACGACATAGCTCCGCGCGGAGGTCGAAAACTTATTCGATGATTTTATTTTAATATCTCGGGTAACAGCTCCGCGCGGAGATATGACGTTCCAAAACGACATAGCTCCTCGCGTAGGTATGACGTTCCAAAACGACATAACTCCGCGCGGATATGTAACGTTCCAAAATGACATATCTCCTCGCGTAGATATGACGTTCCAAAACGACATAACTCCGCGCGGAGGTATGACGTTCCAAAACGACATAACTCCGCGCGGTGATATGACGTTCCAAAACGACATAACTCCGCGCGGAGGTCGAAAACTTTTTCTATGATTTTATTTAATATCTCGGGTAACAGCTCCGCGCGTAGATATGACGTTCCAAAACGACATAACTCCGCGGGAAGATATGACGTTCCAAAACGACATAACTCCACGCGGAGATATAACGTTCCAAAAGGCATAACTCCGCGCGGAGATATGACGTTCCAAAACGACATAACTCCTCGTGTAGATATGACGTTCCAAACGACATAACTCCGCGCAGAGGTCGAAAACATTTTCTATGATTTTTTTTTAATATCTCGGGTAACAGCTCCGCGCGTAGACATGACGTTCCAAAACGACATAGCTCCGCGCGGAGGTCGAAAACTTATTCGATGATTTTATTTTAATATCTCGGGTAACAGCTCCGCGCGGAGATATGACGTTCCAAAACGACATAGCTCCTCGCGTAGGTATGACGTTCCAAAACGACATAACTCCGCGCGGATATGTAACGTTCCAAAATGACATATCTCCTCGCGTAGATATGACGTTCCAAAACGACATAACTCCGCGCGGAGGTATGACGTTCCAAAACGACATAGCTCCTCGCGTAGATATGACGTTCCAAAACAACATAACTCCGCGCGGAGATATGACGTTTCAAAACGACATAACTCCTCGTGTAGATATGACGTTCCAAAACGACATAACTCCGCGCGGAGGTCGAAAACTTTTTCGATGATTTTATTTAATATCTCGGGTAACAGCTCCGCGCGTAGATATGACGTTCCAAAACGACATAACTCCGCGCGGAGATATAACGTTCCAAAAGGCATAACTCCGCGCGGAGATATGACGTTCCAAAACGACATAACTCCTCGTGTAGATATGACGTTCCAAAACGACATAACTCCGCGCGGAGGTCGAAAACATTTTCTATGATTTTTTTTAATATCTCGGGTAACAGCTCCGCGCGTAGACATGACGTTCCAAAACGACATAGCTCCGCGCGGAGATATGACGTTCCAAAACGACATAACTCCGCGCGGAGACATGACGTTTCAAAACGACAGAACTCCGCGCGGAGATATGACGTTCCAAAACGACATAGCTCCTCGCGTAGATATGACGTTCCAAAACAACATAACTCCGCGCGGAGATATGACGTTCCAAAACGACATAACTCCGCGCGGAGATATGATGTTCCAAAACGACATAACTCCGCGTGGAGATATGACGTTCCAAAACGACATAACTCCGCGTGGAGATATGACGTTCCAAAACGACATAACTCCGCGTGGAGATATGACTTTCCAAAACGACATAACTCCCCGTGGAGATATGACGTTCCAAAACGACATAGCTCCTCGCGTAGATATGACGTTCCAAAACAACATAACTCCGCGCGGAGATATGACGTTCCATAACGACATAACTCCGCGCGGAGATATGACGTTCCAAAACGACATAACTCCACGTGGAGATATGACGTTCCAAAACGACATAACTCCGCGCGGAGATATGACGTTCCAAAACGACATAACTCCGCGTGGAGATATGACGTTCCAAAACGACATAACTCCGCGTGGAGATATGACGTTCCAAAACGACATAACTCCGCGTGGAGATATGACGTTCCAAAACGACATAACTCCGCGTGGAGATATGACGTTCCAAAACGACATAGCTCCGCGCGGAGATATGACGTTCCAAAACGACATAACTCCGCGTGGAGATATGACGTTCCAAAACGACATAACTCCCCGTGGAGATATGACGTTCCAAAACGACATAACTCCGCGCGGAGACATGACGTTTTAAAACGACATAACTCCGCGCGGATATATGACGTTCCAAAACGACATAACTCCCCGTGGAGATATGACGTTCCCAAACGACATAACACCGCAAGGAGCTATGACGTTCCAAAACGACATAACTCCGCGCGCAGATATGACGTTCCAAAACGACATAACTCCGCGTGGAGATATGACGTTGCAAAACGACATAACTCCGCGCGGAGCTATGACGTTCCAAAACGACATAACTCCGTGCGGAGACATGACGTTTCAAAACGACATAACTCCGCGCGGAGATATGACGTTCCAAAACGACATAACTCCGCAAGGAGATATGACGTTCCAAAACGACATAACTCCGAGCGGAGACATGACGTTCCAAAACGACATAGCTCCGCGCGGAGGTCAAAAACTTTTTCTTTGATTTTTTTTTAATATCTCGGGTAACAGCTCCGCGCGGAGATATGACGTTCCAAAACGACATAGCTCCTCGCGTAGATATGACGTTCCAAAACAACATAACTCCGCGCGGAGATATGACGTTCCAAAACGACATAACTCCGCGCGGAGATATAACGTTCCAAAAGGCATAACTCCGCGCGGAGATATGACGTTCCAAAACGACATAACTCCTCGTGTAGATATGACGTTCCAAAACGACATAACTCCGCGCGGAGGTCGAAAACATTTTCTATGATTTTTTTTAATATCTCGGGTAACAGCTCCGCGCGTAGACATGACGTTCCAAAACGACATAACTCCGCGCGGAGATATGACGTTCCAAAACGACATAACTCCGCGCGGAGACATGACGTTTCAAAACGACAGAACTCCGCGCGGAGATATGACGTTCCAAAACGACATAGCTCCTCGCGTAGTTATGACGTTCCAAAACAACATAACTCCGCGCGGAGATATGACGTTCCAAAACGACATAACTCCGCGCGGAGATATGACGTTCCAAAACGACATAACTCCGCGTGGAGATATGACGTTCCAAAACGACATAACTCCGCGTGGAGATATGACGTTCCAAAACGACATAACTCCCCGTGGAGATATGACGTTCCAAAACGACATAGCTCCTCGCGTAGATATGACGTTCCAAAACAACATAACTCCGCGCGGAGATATGACGTTCCAAAACGACATAG